AATGGATCAGGACAAAAAGAGAGAGGGGGGCGGGGGGGGTGGGGGTTACCTTGGTTGCTGATTGGCTAATGGTTACACAAGACAAATAATCACAGAGCATGAAATAAAGTGCTGTTTTAGTCTGTGTCCTACCTTTAGGTCCCAAGGGTCCCCTGGGTCCTTCTCCTCCGTTCTGTCCAGGCATACCAGACTCTCCAGGGGGTCCCGGGCGTCCAGAAGATCCTTCTTTTCCTGAAGGACCAGGGGGTCCTGGGCGGCCAGCAGTACTCTTCACATGGGCCGGCTGCAACTGAGCCATCAGGTAGGCCATTTTGGCTGGACACAAAAGAAAAGATTATTAGATTAGATTCCTTTATGGTCACTACACAGAGTACAGCGAAACTCCAAGCATTCCCGATGGTTTAATCACACATAACAGAGTGTATAAGTACAAGCATTATGTCCTTTTAAATACAAATCTTACAGAAAGAAGAGATACATATAAAAAATGTCGTCCTCACCATCCAACTGTTTGGACAGCTCCTCCTGGATGAGGCGTCTCATCTGCTCCAGTGACACCGACTCTCCCTGACACACACACAAAATAATATCTTTAAAGGTGGGGTAGGTAATTTTGGAGAAAGCAGCTCGAGTGCGCTAGAATTTGAAAATACACAACCGGAAAAGATCTGCCACTTCCTTACAGAGCCCCTCCTCCAACACACACGAACGCGCACATGACCAATGAGGGCACGAGATGAGTTTGTGCACAGATGGAAGGCTGACAGGCAGGTAGGCCATCCAGTTATTTTAGCCGGGCCGGCTCAGATGATTGGTCGTGCTTTTTACAGCGCTACGGCTTCCACAGATGATATTTTTTTATGGATTTTTTGTCAAAGCACTTCAGATATTCATTGCTATCGGGATGTTAAGAGCATTCCATGGAATATGAAAAAAAGTGTATCTCGAGCCGGTTTCTCAAACTTACCTACCCCACCTTTAACAAATGTATTAATACCTACATCTTAAATCGGCTTTTTCTGTGCTTATTACTGTAGCATCAACATTAAAGTCTCAGGACTTAAAGTACATTTACTCAAATACGTTGACATACTCGTACTTTACTTGAGTATTTCTATACTAGTATTCTCCAATATGCTCAAACTCCACTATATTTCCTGGGCTGTGTGTAAACATGTGTGAAGAAGAGTGATATTTCCTGCTTAACTTAATAAACCCAGTATTTTACAAGAGTACAGTATCTAAACATTAGCTCAACATTGACAAACTACAACCTTAAATCCAAAAGACAGGTATTGTGAAAAGTAGCCATTCTGCATACTTTTACTTTGATATTTGAAGTACCTTTGGTTTCTACTTTTGTATCCAGGACTTTTATTTGTAATGGACTTAAGCACTTCTTCCCCCCTGTGTTCAGGAAACTCACCCTCTGTCCGGGGATCCCTGGGTTTCCTGAAGGTCCCTGTGACCCAGGAGCGCCCAATTCTCCCGGGGGCCCCGACATGCCCATCATCCCCGTGTGGCCCTTCCTGCCGGGGGATCCGGGGTTTCCGGGCATACCTGACTCTCCTGAATGTCCTTTATCTCCCTTCGTACCACCGTCTCCCTGAGTTAGATCACAGAAATTATACATGTTCAGACTTCAAGATCAAATAATTAAAAACTATACCGTAAAATGTTACAGAATAGAAACCAAAAACAGGCCGGGCCGGGCACAGCACGCTTAAACCGTGCTGTAGTGGAAATGCGCCCCTAGATGTGTGTTGCTCCGATTCATTTGGTTCCTTTTGTTGAGTCACTTAGGATACATGTTTTCATCTATTTTGAGCACATTTAAAGTGCATATTCAAATGATCTTTTCCTATTGGTTCCATTTCTAGAACTCACCTTTTCTCCCTTGGTACCACGATCACCAACTCTGCCTGGCATACCCTACAAATCACAAACATACATATAAAGAACAAATCTCTTAATATAATATCATATTATTCATATACAGATTTATGAGGTTCTTACCTGTTTTCCCTCTGGGCCGACTGGACCAGATGGACCCTGAAAATCAAGATAAAACTTGGCGTTACCAACAGCCGGTCATATAAAATGTGAACAAAATAATATAAAATTTCCCACTCACCGAGGGGCCTTTAGGGCCACTAAAGCCTGGCAATCCGGGGTTTCCGGGCTCTCCCTTGTCTCCCCGGGTTCCCTGTGCAGAGATGGCAAAAGTGCACACATCTTTTACTCAAGTAGAAGTACAGATATTCATGTTTAAAAATACTCCGGTAAAAGTAGAAGTACTGACTAAACTTCTTTACTCAAGTAAAAGTAAAGAGGCTTTGAAATGTACTTCAGTAAAAAGTACCCATAACTAGCAGCTGTTTTAAAGAGTACCTGACCTCCCTTTATATTAATAGAACAATAATGTCATTATTAGCTAATGAATGTTTCCATGCTGAACAACGGCAACATGACAACGTTTTCATTGGTCCCTCTTCTTTAGAGAAGACCAGGAAATGATGGATACACGGATCGTGTTCAAATCAATAGGCACGCAATGACTCTAAATATATGATACGCACCCAANGATATACACCTGAACATCAGCAGGAGAGGAATCTTTAAAGTAGAGACACTACATACTGATATACACCTGAACATCAGCAGGAGAGGACTCTTTAAAGTAGAGACACTACATACTGATATACACCTGAACATCAGCAGGAGAGGACTCTTTAAAGTAGAGACACTACATACTGATATACACCTGAACATCAGCAGGAGAAAACTCTTTAAAGTAGAGACACTACATACTGATACACACCTGAACATCAGCAGGAGAAAACTCTTTAAAGTAGAGACACTACATATTAACCTGGAAATGAGCAGAATGTGACCTCTTTAATTCTGAGAATACCGGGATAAATAAGAGGCAGGATTCTTTTAAACATCCCTTGAGCCTGGAATTAAAGTTGCTCTCTTAATAACCTGATGATTAACACGTTCATCAGGCATGACTGTGAACCCTGTAGCTACATGGCATATTCATAAGGATGTATGACTCGTGCCAGCCTCATCTCACATGAAATTATAGTTTGTGACGGACCATGGAACAATGTGTCCGAACTGTTTGGCTAAATTAAAGAGTAAAGGTCTTCCTGTCACTTAGCATCTCCCGCTGAAAATACACAGCTTCAAATGAAGAGTGAGTTATTCTCCCTTCCTGTATCACCGGATCTTCTCATCCTCCTCCCGTAACCTCAGAGCTATACAAACAGTCTGTGACTCAAACTGGTCAAAGAGTGGCTTCATGTGAAAACAAGGATGTTGACATAAGCATGTGTGTGTTCGAGAAAACACCCTTAAATCACCCTTAATATTTTCGGAAACTTTGGAATGGTTCTCAAATTGTACGTAAAATGTTGTTGATTTAAAAAAATTATCGTAGTCTTTACGCTAAAAAATATATATAGGAAAATAATATTCAAAAAGTATTCCCTGGTGTTTAATGATAGAGAAAAACTAATTGTTGTTGTCCAAAGCTGTCGTTAAATCACCCGGACTTCTTTCCGCGGATTGATATGACTGCACATAGTCCCTTGATCTTCCTTAGCGACGGTCTGTTCTCCTTAGCAACGGTCTGTTAGTGAGAATTAACAACCTGTAGAATGTCCAAATGGACCAATCAGAATCGAGTATTCAACTATGCCGTGCGATAACTGCAATTCAATGTCAGTTGATAATTCAAGGAAGCTGATTTTTTATATAACTGCATTCATATTGCAGGTGAAAGTGAAATAAAATCTTACAGAATTGGACATTATATTTCTATTTGAGGACACTTGGCCCTATAGAAAATGTCACATAGTGGGTTTGTGACCTCAGTGTGAATCATAAGGCCTACACTTCTCAACAGAAGCACCATGAAGGAGCCCTTGACATATTGACATCTTGAAATTCTGAATTGCTTCAGTTTCTGAGTCCTGTTTCTGACCTTGCATCAAGTGGCTCTCAGCGCAGAGGAGCCACCGCTGCTGCACACTTATTAAAATCTTGGCTCCTTTTTGCCTTTTCCGCCTCGATAACCTTCATACAGAGTACAACGACAGTGCACATATGACGCAGTATGCTCTGGCATTAGTCAAAGCTGACTCATTTTCATTCCCTTAAATATGCACGACCATGCTGAGCTGCTATTGTTCTCTTCCATATGTGCAGAAACCTGCTCTGCTCGCTATGCTGGAAACACGCCAGAGAGGACAAAAGTACACACATCCTTTACTCAAGTAGAAGTACAGATATTCATGTTTAAAAATACTCCGGTAAAAGTAGAAGTACTGACTAAACTTCTTTACTCAAGTAAAAGTAAAGAGGCTTTGAAATGTACTTCAGTAAAAAGTACCCATAACTAGCAGCTGTTTTAAAGAGTACCTGACCTCCCTTTATATTAATAGAACAATAATGTCATTGTTAGCTAATGAATGTTTCCATGCTGAACAACGGCAACATGACAACGTTTTCATTGGTCCCTCTTCTTTAGAGAAGACCAGGAAATGATGGATACACGGATCGTGTTCAAATCAATAGGCACGCAATGACTCTAAATAATAATGATCACGCCACCAAACACACATTCAAACTAAAGGAACCAGCCTGTTTGGAAAATGTGAGAAGTAGAAAGTACAGGTATTTGGGTTCAACATGTGAGAAGTAGAAAGTACAGGTATTTGGGTTCAACATGTAAGAAGTAGAAAGTACAGGTATTTGTGTTCAACATGTAAGAAGTAGAAAGTACAGGTATTTGTGTTCAACATGTAAGAAGTCAAAGTAAAGTCGTCAAACATAAGTAGTGGAGTAAAATACTGATACCAGAAGAATATATTTAAGTACAGTAACAAAGTATTTGTACTCCACTACTTCCCACCTCTGTCCCTGTGTGACAGCAAAGAAATGGCCGTTCATCACATGTCATGTACAGTACCGCTCATTACTGAGGATTCAGGAAGACTAACATTTAGCTGGGGTTCTTATCAGCATGCTACAGTGGCCTGGATAACAAACAACTCATAAACCAATCTTGTGGCGGGACATGGCAGCTTGAAGAGATTACAATTCATATTTACACAGGACACATGGGCCTGAAGACAAGCTGGAGTGAAGGAATGTATTGGAGAGTATATTCCACTGTAGAGCAGGTTAAAAGTAAAATGCTGTTTTATTTTTAATTTTAAAGTTCTTAGTAAATTGCATTTTAATTGTAATTGTGACCTTAATAATTCTTGCATAATAAGCACATTTAGGCTACCTTTTTTACATTTTATGTTAACTTTCAAATAACATACATGTTAATATTCGACACAATAAGGCAAGTCTTTGACAATTGTGTAATGCTGTTTTAAATTAAATTTTCTAATTGTTAGAACATTGTCACTTAAGTAATGCTTGCAAAAATGGAAAAAGCTTCATGGTTTACATCGCATTTTTGATATTCAAATTACTTAAAATTTAATATTTTGTCCACTGTAATGCAGGTTACTGTAAATCTCTGAAATTAAATGTCTAATGCTGTTTTCATTTGTGTTGATTTCATTTATTGATATACATTTTTTTTATTTGAATGTAAAATTAATACATTTGAAATGATACAACTTAAAATAAAATGCTGACCATTTTTTTCCCTTTTGTAATGTTTTTTTTTAATATATTTATGAAAGTTAATGCTTTTAAGAAAGGACATTTGCATTTTGAAAGTCCTTTGTGGGCTTCCATACTGATCTGTATATCGTTGAAACTACCTCTTCTGCTTCACTACCTCTGTGTGGTAAACATATGATCCTTCCTCTAAATACCTCCTCTCTCCTCCACTGAAATCTATCTCCATCTCCTCTCCCAGCCTCTCTGCCTCCTCCAGGCTATTTCTGATAATCTGCTCCCTCTGCTGACTGATTGTATCCTCGCCTCTCTGATAGCTGGCAGCATGTCATCCCCCCTGCAGTTAGTGACTCCTCTTCCTCCTGAGAAACCTTCCTCTAATCCAGGGGTGTCCAAACTCTTTTCACCGAGGGCCATACAGAAAAATATACGAAGGGCTGGGCCGCTCACTAGAGGTATAGCCTATTGCTTCATAAAGTGAGTTATAAGTAGGGCTGTAACCGAATATTCGTTCAAGTACTATTCGAGTTTCAATTTCGTTATTCGTTTTTTTTTTCAAATTGAATTTATTGAAATCTCCAATACCAACGTAAGAGCTTGTGCCTCTTCGGGGGGTGCCAACACTTAACCATAAACGTTATCGTTTACTTTCTCCGTCTTTATATGTAGATATTACTTTTTCTCCGTTAATCGCCGTCACATTGTTTCCATAGCAACAACAACTTCCTGTCAACAGCGCTATCTCTCCTTCAAAATAAAAGCATGTCCATACAAAATAGGAAGCCAAGCCAAATTACACTTAAGACATATACAACTGCAACGGAAGTAACAAACACAATGCAATATCCTTTTCCAATTCTAAGAACACAAATTGGGTTACAAAAACGGGCCGAATATTCGCTGCTGATTACTACCGAATATCCGGAACCCAAACATTTTTATTCGGGACAGCCCTAGTTATAAGTGAGCAACATCAATCAAATGTAGGTAAATTATTCTTGATACTTGAAAATGCTTTAAGAAACACAAATAGCTCTCCTTTAGGGTTTCATTTATTTAGTTAAAAGCTCTTTCCTTAAAACAAAAGCCTCAGATTGCTCATAAAAAGGGGAAATATGAAGTGTCTATTTCAAGCTTGTTATGTAATTAAGTTATTGGGCTTTTTCTTCACATATATATATTTCAGAAGAACAATATAAGACAAGCACAAGTTTTATTTGTGGGCCGTATTTTATTATACTTTTTTAATTAGCTGAGGGCCATTTCAA